AGTTTGTAAGATATTTTATAATGACATATAATAACATTTATTTAGTAATACAGTATACTTATAATACTTAAACTTAAATATTCCACCATTTTCTCTACCATCTACTCTCATCCTTTCATCCTTTAGGCTTTTGGTTGGCATATGCATTAATCTCCAAAACCAGCTTCTAAGAAAATAATGAAACATGATGGTAAATTGGTACATTGCTCACATGAGTGTAAAGTGTTCACTGCAATGTTCTGTAAAATTTAGCTTACAAGTTATCCATCACATGGATTTCCAACAAAATAGCTGTCAAATTGAGCCACCCCCCCAACCCCCAAATGAAGTCACAGACCCAAGTGAACTACGACCTATGAGGCTGCAACACTTAATGGCAATTCTCCAGAAACATTCCCTGAACAGGCTGATAACCTTAACTACAAAGACGTCTTCCTTCCACATTATTATAATGGAATGGAAATTATATTTTTTTAACAGGAAGAGGCAGATAAAAATAGCTGTAATTTCAACATTAATAAACTGTTAACTGTTTTATTATACATTTTGCCAAATTTGGGGGGTGGGGGGCTGCTGAATCAAGCTATTGGTGGAAATCGTCTGCCACAAACAAGGGAAGGCAGGTGAGAGTCTATTGTGTGTATTACCACACAAAAATATTTATGTCAATTGATGATCTCAAAAAATGACAGCAGGGGTAAAAAAATGTTTGGCATCTGACATGATAAGTAGAACTGGATTGAGTCACAGTTTTGACACTCGTTATTTTTGGGACTTGTTCTGCAAATAAAGGAACCTTTCATCATTTGGGGGGAATATACCTATTTCCTGTCTTCCAAGACTATCCTCACCAGGAAATTCACAGCACTGATCATTTGATCATCATGAATCATGAAAATAATGACTATCCTCATAGGAGTACAGAGTACAGTTCTATTTGTGTCATGTCTGCCACATACAGTCGAAATGTTTTGGTGATCTTTCTCCAACCTTAAATAGGTCTTTTCAGTTACATAAAATGAACTTTTACTTTATGTAGATACACTGAACACAAGAGACTGACTTGTGATTATTTATCTTTGTTCTTCATGTGAAAAATATTCAGTGGTGGAATGTAAGAGAGCGAGAGACATGAGCAGTGTCAGCATGCAAATACTCAAGCATGCATGTATGTATAGTGTGCTCACTTGAGGAAGAAATGAGGAGATGCAGAAGATATGAGAAATAAATAGTACAGAAAATGAAATCCAAATTGTGAGGCAATGGTTTCCTGCTGTTACTATTCGTGCTGCACCACACTGATGCCTGCAGAGTCCATTTGCCATAGATTGTTTGTCAGGTGGCTAATAAGCACAACACTTTAGGGGCAAAGAAGGTCGATAACAGCCTCTACAGCAAAGCACTCTTTCCGAGACACAGATAGCGGCTCTCAAATTAAAAGCCTGGGACTAAACGTCTTAACTTGTGGAAACACCCACTGACAAAAAAATGTAGTGCCATATCAGGGGCACTGTCATATTTACTCATGCCGCCCTATTCTAACTGAGATGGATTTGGCTACAGAGAAGACTTTGGTCTACTATATAATACATGAATGTGATAAAATATGAACAGATTCCCCATGAATTTCCCACAGCAATGAGATAAAGGGATGAAAATGACAGCATCGAATCCATCCAACAATGTTACAGTTACAACCAGTGTCTCCACTAGATACTTCATTCATGACGCATACTAGTGCATCTTTTCTGCCAAATGACCGAAAAGGAAACACAGAGATAAGACTCACTGTGAGTTTGGTCAGTATTGTCAAACAGCAAGCATCCAAAAGTGGCAAACACTGGGAGACAACAGGAGACAGGCTAGCAGACAGCCCCTTGTATTCTCAAAGTCAAACATGTCCTGCAGACAAATAGAAAAATAACCAAAACAATGACACATCGGACTTTCTGTCATATTTGTAACACCGGACAATGTTGTTGGGAACAGTTACAAACTGCAAAAGTATTTAAGGGTTATGAAAATAGACAAAGGAACTGTTCTCTGTTTTAAACTGTGGCTACTATAAATAGTTTTGTCTGACAATAAATGACAGTCCTGTCTCTCAGCAGCACTGATCACCTTCTTATAAGGGATGTAATATCCACCTACCAAAGAAACGAAAATGACGGCCATAATGTCGTAAATTGGCACATTTTTATTTCTGAGGTTGGTGTGGGTGAAGGTGGGCTTCATTTAGTTGAACTGGAGCGGGAGGCAACGTCATGTGAGCCATGACTGCCTCAGCCACTCAATGAAGTTGCAGACCTAATCTATTTTGCATGGGAGCCATAATTAATGCATGCAGCAGCAGGCCAAAACATGCATTTCTTGGCAGTCTTGCTATGTCAGGGAACAGTGAGTGAACTTTGAAAGAGCTGTCACGTATAAAAATGTGTACAAGTACAGTCAGAAGTAAAAGTCTTGGGACAGCAGCAGAGTGAAAAGGTTTGTCGCTACTGGTGAAAGTGAGTCAGCGTTTAACACCTTGCATGTATAAAATGTGCTAAGTGCGGCCCTTTGAGAAAAGTACTGGGATAGTGAAGAGACGTGTCATTTCTTCTGCATATGGAAAACATTTCAGTACCTTTGCCACTAACTATATTCTTGTAACAAACTTGTAACACAAGAATAAAATGTACACAGTCAGTCTTGTGTATCAAACGCTTTTAGAATGCAACAGGTAAGACACCAAAGACAGTTATTGTTGTTTGGTGTATATCTGTAAAAGAGTGACATGTGACTTCTCCCAAGAGCCCTTCCAAGAGTCATCCAGCTGACATTCACTGGGCTGGGCTGGGAGATGGGATGGTATGGGACAGGACCGAGCAGGATAGGACTGAATTAGACTGGATTGGTTAGGTTAAGATAGGATATGATACAATGGAAAAAAGATAGGATGAAAGGACAAGATAAGATGGTAAAAGATAGGATAGGATATACTGATATAAAGGTCAAAAAATAATAATGCGAAGTAGTCCGCATGTGAATCCAGTCACTATGGATTCATTAGGTGGGTTCAAGTCTGGCTCATTACTTTAGTCATCTTATCCCCTCTGTCTTTCTCATCTTTCTTATATCTCCCTGATGTATAATACTAAAACTTTCAACTCTCACTCTACAAACCTTTTCTGTGACTTTTCATCATTTCATTAATTTATTTAAAGATTTTTTGAAAATAAAGGCCATCGATGCAGCGAAGACCCTTTTTTACCAACTGAAAGCTTAGAAATGTCTCTCTTTTGATGAAACGGGAAAAACAAGCACTCGATCGATGTAATGAAAAAGAAGATGCATTCTACCATTGCTTTGAGAGGTGACTAATAAACGAGCATCCCAAAAGGATTCAGTTTTTCAGCAATGAAAGACTGTACCAGTTTATCCAGAAATAAAAGTTGTGATTTCTCAGTAACCCAGGGAGACCACTCAACTAACCAATGTGAGTACTTTACAGCCCTCTGGCAAGTTTGAATATTTAATCAGCCAGTTGCAGATTTCAATATTTGATTAGCCTGTTACAGGTAGGTAAGATGTGAAACCTTGTTATTTTAATGTGTAAGGAAGAGTCCCCCTGTGTCGTTTAATCTTACATTGTTCAATATTGTTGTAGCAGCCTGTAGGCTTACCATGCAAACTTTTCCTTGGTAAGGTACAGACCTAAATATTTAACAAACACTGATTAATAAAGTAGTTTTTTCACAACAGGCGATTTATTGGCTCCTGTGAGTATTTAATGAGTCAGCAAACAATCTGAATAGATTAATAGCTTGTTTCATACATATGTGCAACACTGAATATTCAAGTCATGGGAAGGAAACACATGCAGGTAATTGTCAAAGCACCACCATGAAATGAAAGCTCCTCATATGTTTTGTGCAACTGCTGCTGTGCAGTTTATTCCTCCTGAAGCACATGCATACTCACACACACACACACACACACACTGATGCTTTTCTTGTGTACGTCAGCAAGAGCGATGAACTAGATCTTGCTTCAGTGCAAGTGACAAGCACACATGAACACAAGCACACACACACACACACACACAGGTGCAACAGTCTACCTTGTTGTATCATGACCTTACATCATTTTGATATCTCACTCTTACTGTAAGCCCTAACATGGGCGATGGACTGGAACGTCCATGACTCTATTTTACACACATCTCAACAGTCGAGTTAGGAGCTTAGGTGTGAGCACTGGACTGAAACTTCCCATACATATGATACAAACACACACACACACACACATACTTATAACTGTCTGAGTAGTGTGTATGACTGCAGTTATAGGATGTTGGTTCAGGTGACATCTAGAGGGATTTACAGTAGTTATATAAAATTATCTTATGTTGAAAATCTAATTAATTATTATATATCATATTAACCTTGATCTACCTTGATCTTTGTGGACATCATCACGGATTCTCCCTCCATTCATGTGACAAACAACACACACACACACACATACTCAGAGCACCACCTCTGCTCTCATTCTCAAGCAATGGACTGGAACTAACATACACATTCCCGCGGCTGTCACACGCACACACACACACACACACACGCAGGGGGAGAGAGTCAAAGAGGACACGTGCACACATGCATGCACACAACCTTGCTGCTGTTTGTTGAAGGCACACAAACTATGATCTCTGACTCATACAAACACACACTTTCTCCCTATAGAAATGAATCACTTGGAATCTATACAACCAGCCAGACACACACACACACACACACACACACACACACACAAACTATACTGTACTACCTTAGTGTTATCATCATTCACACCAACACAAGCTCCAGTCAAGAACCATCTGCAGCCAGTGTCTCCCCCGCCCTTGTGAACAGAGTTCGATGACCAAAGTCCTGATGGCTAGAAGCCACATTACAAATACTGTATTTCTGACAATAAATGACAGTCCTGTCACGTCATACATAAAAACATGCCCACAATGACACCTAAATATGCAACCAAGGGCTGAAACGCAAACAAAATGCATATAACTAGCTGAACACATTGGATTTCAGCATGTCAGATGATTGATTTAGCACCCCACATCTACCAGAAAGGTATATAAACAAACTCAATATTGTTAGTCTATCTCAGTGTCCCTTCACCTTACCTTGCTTTTCTTTCTTTCAGAAATAATCCCACTGAATGCCCAGAAGTGAAATACTTTGATATTTACAACTATTTGATCAAATCACCAGGTAAGATAATCATTTAACCTAACAAAGATCAAAACCAGGCCTTGTATAGCTTCTCTCCTCTACAGTTTGAAAAGAAATGCATACTATCGGGATCCCACTGTTTTCCCATTCTTCTTGCTAATGCCTCCCATCTTATTGCCTGTATCTACTTTTGTCTTCTTAAAGGCTCAGTTTTTTTTTTGTTTGGCAGCTTATAAAAACTTAGTTCTGGGTTCTTTACCCTGTTGTTAGCGTATCCCACCGCAAAGCAGCTTTTAGGCATTCTTCTGTTGGAGGAGACAAGGAGGCACCTTCATGCAATACAAAGACAGTGGATAGTGATGAATTGTTTTCTCCTCCGGTGTGGGCGGTATATAATTGTGCGCGGTCTCTATATCAGATATGAAATTAGATACACAACACAAATATTTTAACAAAGTAGGGCAACCTTGTACCCTGTTTTCTCTTGGGTAGATCTGCAGAACTTCTAAATTGCAGGTTAATAAACATACTTAGGTCTGCTGTTAATGGGTTATTTTTTAGACGTGCTGACGTTGCTGACGTACTCCGGTAAGCGTGTCGACTCATTTCCGTTTCCGGTGCTTGTGTGTTGGTAGCGTGTTGTGCTGCTCTCGCTAAATACCAGTTACATTTGTTAGATTACAGCGGCCAACTGTACGCTATGTAAAATTACTTATTCTTACGGTAATTTTGCCTAAGCACTCACATTTCTTTCCATCTTTTAGTGACTGCTGTTCAATCTCATAGTTGTTCAAAAGTTTTTGTAGCTGACACTACAGTACTTTAGCTTAGGCGTTAGCGACATTAGCTCAGCAGCTAGCGATGGCTTCTCCTTCTACCTCTCTCGCTCCTACTTTCTCCTGCTCGGTGTGTCAGATGTTCAATTACTCCTCTGCCTCCTGTAGCAGTAATGGTACGTGTAATAAGTGTAGTTTATTTTTAGACATGGAGGCAAGGCTCAGTGATTTAGAAGTCCGGCTCCGCACCTTGGTAGATCAGTCTTTAGCTACTGTAGCTAGCCAGTCCCTGGTAGTCAGTGCGGAACAGCCTGAGTTAGCCTCTGGTAGCCGTCCCCCAGCATCTCCTGTGCAGCCAGGAAGAGGTGGCTGGGTGACTGTCCGAAGGAGGAATAGTCGTAAGCGTTCAAAGCCCACGGGGCACCATCAACCTGTTCACGTCTCTAACAGATTTTCCACACTCAGCGACATACCCGCTGAGAAACCAACTCTGATCATTGGCAGCTCCATTTTGAGAAATGTGAAGTTAGCAAAGCCAGCGGCCATAGTTAAGTGCATCCCTGGGGCAAGAGCAGGCGACATTGCGACCCTCCCAGTCATATTAATACTCACATTCCTCGAGGCACAGGCCAAGGAGGTGGAGTTGCAGCTATCTTCGACTCTAGCCTACTAATCAGCTCTAAACCTAAACTAAATTATAACTAATTTGAAAGCCTTGTTCTTAGTCTTTCGCACCCAAGTTGGAAACCACTGCAACCAATTCTTTTCGTTATAGTGTACCGAGCACCTGGTCCGTACTCTGAATTCTTATCTGAATTTGCAGAGTTTTTGTCAACTTTAGTCCTTAAAACGGACAAAGTTATTATTGTAGGGGATTTTAATATTCATGTGGACGTTGAGAATGACAGCTTCAGTACTGCGTTTATCTCTCTGTTAGATTCCATTGACTTCTCTCAGAGTGTTCATGAACCGACTCACTGTTTTAACGACACCCTCGACTTTGTTTTGGAATACGGTATTGAAATTGAACATTTAATAGTGTTCCCACAGAATCCCTCTTTGTCAGATCACTGTTTGATAACTTTTGAGTTTGTATTGCTGAACTACACGCCACTGGGCAAAAATTTCTATACAAGATGTCTGTCTGATAGTGCTGTAGCTAAATTTAAGGATGCGATTCCATCAGCTCTAAATTCATTATCAAGTCACAAAGTAACGGAGGACTCTTATGCTAATTTCAGTCCCTCCCAAATCGATCATCTTGTTGATAGTGCTGCAGGCTCGCTGCGAATGACACTCGACTCTGTAGCTCCTCTAAAAATGAAAATACTAAAACAAAGACGGTTAGCTCCATGGTATAATACTGAAACTCGCAAATTAAAGCAAATATCACGGAAACTTGAGAGGAATTGGCAATTGGAATTCTCGTTTAATTTGGCAAGATAGTCTTAAAACTTATAGGAAGGTCCTCCGTAATGCCAGAGTAGCGTACTACTCGTCATTAATAGAGGAAAATAGGAACAACCCCAGGTTTCTTTTCAGCACTGTAGCCAGGCTGACAGAGAGTCACAGCTCTATTGAGCCAAGTATTCCCATAGCTCTCAGTAGTTACGACTTCATGAGCTTCTTTAATGATAAGATTCTAACTATTAGAAACAAAATCAACCAAGACCTGCCCTCAACTGGCACAGACTTATCTCTAAACTCAGGAACCTTAGAAACAGCTGTAGAACCAGATATATGTTTAGACTGTTTTGATTCCCTCAATCTTTACCAACTAACTTCAATAATTTCTTCATCTAAACCATCAACCTGCCTCTTAGACCCCATCCCGACTAGGTTGCTTAAAGAAGTTTTACCCTTAGTCAGCACTTCTATACTAGATATGATCAATCTATCTTTATCAACAGGCTATGTACCGCAGTACTTTAAAGTAGCTGTAATTAAACCTCTTCTGAAAAAGCCCAAACCTATATCTAACCTTCCATTTCTCTCTAAGATCCTGGAGAAAGCAGTTGCTAAACAGCTGTGTGACTTTCTACAGAGCAATAGTTTATTTGAGGATTTTCAGTCAGGATTTAGACTTCATCATAGCACACAGACAGCACTGGTGAAAATTACTAACAACCTCCTTATTGCATCAGACAAAGGACTTGTCTCTGTACTGGTTTTATTAGATCTTAGTGCTGCATTTGATACCATTGACCATCAGATCCTATTGCAGAGACTGGAACATTTCATTGGCATTAAAGGAACCGCTCTAAGATGGTTTAAGTCCTATTTATCAGATCGATTTCAATTTGTACATGTTAACGATGAGTCCTCCATGCACGCCAAAGTTAGTCACGGAGTACCTCAAGGATCTGTCCTCGGACCAATCCTCTTCACTTAATGCTTCCCATAGGCAATATTATCAGGAAATATTCCATAAACTTTCATTGTTATGCAGATGATACTCAGTTATATCTATTGATCAAGCCAGATGAAACTCATCAGTTAGCTAAACTTCAAATGTGCCTTCAGGATGTTAAAACCTGGAGACCTGTAATTTTCTAATGCTAAACTCAGATAAAACTGAAGTTTTTGTTCTGGGGCCTAAGCACCTCCGTGACGCATTATCTAAAGATATAGTTTCCCTTGATGGCATCGCCCTGGCCTCCAGCACCACTGTGAGGAATCTTGGAGTTATCTTTGATCAGGACATGTCGTTTAAGTCGCACATTAAGCAAATTTCAAGGACCGCCTTTTTTCACCTACATAATATTGCGAAAATCAGGAATATCCTAAAAATGATGCAGAAAAACTAGTCCACGCATTTGTTTCTTCTAGGCCAGATTACTGCAATTCCTTATTATCAGGCTGCTCGAAAAAGTCCATTAAGACTCTTCAGCTGATCCAGAATGCTGCAGCACGTGTTCTGACAGGAACCAGGAAGAGTCTTAGCTTCTTTGCATTGGCTTCCAGTAAAATCCAGAATAGAATTTAAAATAATTCTTCTTACCTACAAAGCTCTTAATGGTCAGGCACCATCTTATCTTAAAGAGCTCATAGTACCTTATTACCCCACCAGAGCACCGCGCTCCCAGAATGCAGGGTTACTTGTGGTTCCTAGAGTCTCCAAAAGTAGACTAGGAGCCAGAGCGTTCAGCTATCAAGCTCCTCTCCTGTGGAACCAGGTTCCAGTTTGGGTTCAGGAGGCAGACACCATCTCCACATTTAAGAGTAGGCTTAAGACTTTCCTCTTTGATAAAGCTTATAGTTAGGGCTGGCTCAGGTGAGTCCTGAACCATCCCTTAGTTATGCTGCTATAGGCCTAGACTGCCGGGGGACTTCCCATGATGCACGGAGCTCCTCTCTCTTCTACTTTCTCTCCCTCTGTATGCAACCTCATCCCATTATTGCATGTTACTAACACAACTTCTCCCCTTTCCGGTAGTCTTGTGCTTTCTCGTCCCTCTCCTCTCTCCTCCTATCACTTCCTGCAGGTGTTTCTGGCTCTGGAGCTGTGGAGTCTGGATCTGTGGCTGCGGGTCACCTGCTGCCCCCGTGTTCCTGCTCGACACCCTCTGCTACAATAACTATTGTTACTAGTCCTATTGTTATTATTGTTATTATAATCATTAAAATTACAATTATTATCATTAACACTACTATGCATATCTATACCATTTTTCATTTAGTCATTTAGTCTATAGCAACATCACCTTTACTGTCTGTACCTCTGTGTATGTATATTGTGTAGGCTGCCTCCCTCCCCTCTCTCTCCTTCCATCCCTCTCTTTTTCTCTCTGTTCCTCTCCTGCCCTCTCTCTCTCTCTCTCTCTCTCTCTCTCTCTCTTCTCTCCCCTTCACCCCCAACCGGTCGAGGCAGATGGCCGCCCACCCTGAGCCATGGTTCTGCTTGAGGTTTCTGCCTCTTAAAAGGAAGTTTTTCCTTGCCTCTGTCGCCTAGTGCTTGCTCTTGGTGGGAATTGTTGGGCTTCTGTAAATAACAGAGTATGGTCTAGACCTGCTCTTTTATGACTCTGTGAGATAACTGTTGTTGTGATTTGGCGCTATATAAATAAAATTGAACTGAATTTAATTGAATTATTTTTGGTCATGTTCTCTGAGTCTTGTTTAAAATAAAGGTCAGATGGGGAACCTTTCTTAAGGAGAAACACTACTGTCTGGTGTCTTAGACCAATAGAACATCAGCTGTCCTAAATGACCAATGCACTAGTTGAAAATCTAATTCAAGTCTACCTGTAAATACAAACAAATTGCCTGATGGGCAGTTTTATGGAAACACGCAGTCTGATCCACATATACTGTAGGTGTGCAATACCACAATCACGTTTAACTTTGTTTTCAAATGTTGTATGTCAACTGTTGTACAACATTTGACCTTCCAAATATGAATTGTCATTTGCATATTAACAGTAAATTTGGACATTACGACTTTCTTCCTAACATTAAAATTTAATTTAGAATTTAGAATGCAAAATGAAAAGAATACTTTGAAATTGCATTTTCCCTTTTCAGTTTGCATGAATATTTTAAATGGGTTAACTTCACTCATCCATAAATTAAGATTTATAGTTGCTCCTTCCCAGTGCCCTCATGAAATATTCATGCATGCACGCAACATGTGTGTCTTCAGTCATGCAGATGTACATGCTCACATTCTATTGTTGCCGCAGACTCTCGTGCTTTCATACAATTTTGGTTCGTCAAGGACAGTGACACACACACTTGAGCTGAAATGTGCACACACAGTTTTGACAGTACAATGAACCGACAAGTACAGTCAAAGTCACAACCTTTACTTGTACTCCTCTGACCAGTACATGGACCCTCACAGTTACAGACACAGCTCACTTGGTTTCTGTGGGCAGCACTCCAAATCCTCCTCAGTAAAATTAGGCATCTTATTTCCTCTTTTGTTCTCAGTTTTCCCTCTCCTTTCTCTCCCCTCTCGTCAGCTTTTATCTCGTCGAGCCTCTCATTTCCCTCAAATCCTCTTTTCTCCTTTTCTCTTCGCTGTCTCTGTTGTCTTCGTTAGCCTGTCTCAC